AAAAAAATCTAATTTTTTTCAGCAGATGAAGTCAGAGTTATTAATTTTAATTCGCTTTTTCAAGGGTGTGATTGAATCATTTTACATAATTTGTGCAATAATGTATTTGCTATACACATGATAATATTTGAAAAACAGCTATAAAGAAGTATTTTTTGCATACAATTATGTGATTTTTCATTGTCACCATTGTTGTGATTCATGTCCCAAATTTTTATGTCTTTGTGTGACTACATGATGCATTTGCTCAAATCAAACAATTTTTTTATTCTATTGGCACCAATATTGCAGTTCCATAAGGTTGGTGGTTATGAACGCCAAATAAAACCAATTTCAAACTCAACATTTGATGCTTGTTTTGTGATTGTTATGTCATTATCAACATTGAGTTTATAACACCTGTTGTTCCTTTTTCTTGACTTTTTCTGTCACAAGAATTATGTTAAATAAACGCACAGTTGCAGCAGCCAAAGAAAAGCTAAAGTAAAAATAAAGGGGACCAAGAGCCCAACTAAAGCAAACACTGATCACCACAATGGTGACACTTCAAATTAAACAAATATCAACATCTAAAGCTTTGTTAATTCTCACTAAGATCATCTGACAGCAATAGTCAAAGTATTCTTCGCCATCTTTTTTCCTCGGAGCCGAGCCATCCAAGTAAAACTGTTTTAGCTTAGCTAGTTCATCTGTTGGTAATGTAAAGTTGTCTAATGTCTCTCCATCTCAAATTATCAGTCAACATAACCTGTGATGAATATTTCATGTTTGTTCAGTTTTTGGAAATATGTTAGCATGTAGCACTAGCTGGCTAGCGCTGCCCGAGTGTCAGTGTTAAGTTTGACTGGCCAATTCTCAATTCTCACGTAGATTCTTTGTAAATATTAGTTTGCTTACATTTTTTAAATCTAGTAATTTCTATAAACTAAAGTAACTTGGCAATAGAGCGGCAATGGCTCAGTGGTTCATGTAGTTTGTCTACAAACCGAAAGGTTGGTGGTTTCAATCCCTAGTTCCACCTGACCAAGTGTCGAGGTGTCCATGAGCAAGACACCTAACCCCAGCTGCTCCCAATGAGCTGGATGAACCCTTGCATCGCTGACACCGCCGTCGGTGTATGAATGAGTGAATGTGAGGCAATGTGTAAAGTGCATGCAAAATGGCCATGGGTCTGTTTAAAGCTCAATATAAATGCAGTCCATTTACCAAAATAAGTTCCAACCAACATTTTTTTAGTTCTCTTGTAATGTTTTCCAGTCCACATTACTTTATACAGGAAGTTGAGTCAACAGACTGCATGTTGCATCAATTCACGTTTTAAAGTGTAATAAACTTGGCACTATAAGTTGACTCAACTTAACTCAAAGCAACAAGATGACTTGAATCTTTTTTACAGTGTGAAAGTAAAAAATAATAAAGATCATGTTTTCAGTATAAGAATAAATACAATTTTTGTAAAAGTCACAGCTTTTCAGCTGCACTCAATTTAGCAATAGCTGACAAAAGAGGATTAATGATGATAAAAGTTAAAATGACAAAATATTATTGTTACTTCACGCAAAACAACTAAGAAATAGCTTTGAATAAATTTAATCTATACATTTGAGTCACTGATTAATTTCACAAGGCTACTGCAAGCTTTCAAAACACATGTTGTCAATAATGGTATACTCGCTAATTAAGTAGTTTACTACATTTTTTTACAATTCCCTAAAAAATAAAGTAAGTCATGGGCCTATAGTGTTTAATTTTGAAATATAAAGAAATTGTAACCCTAGTGTTTTTCAAGTGTAGTTAATATTTCTGTAAGGGCGAGGGACAGACAAATAGACATTTCCATAGAATGACCCAACAATAGAAGTAGCAAGTCAAGTCAGTCAAGTCATCTTCATTTATATAGCTCTTTTAGTAATGTAGATTGTTTCCCAGATAGCACTTCAGTCTTGCCAACGTTGGCAATTGGAGGGCACCAGGCAAAGTATCTGGAGGGTTTTTTCCCCTACACACCAAAAAAACTTAGGTGCACTGTTAGACCTTACCAGGTTTTTTACAGTAAAATACTGGCAACAGGCCAAATTCTGACACTACCATACCATTTTCCATTAAAACAGTAATATACCGTAGAAAACAAAACTAGCCTACAGGAATATACTGTGAATTAACAGCTCTCAAAGTCGACACTCAGAGACTGTGTTCATAATCACACCCTATACCCTCATTCACTATTCCCTACATTAGTTCACTAATATAGTCCACTTGAATGAAAAGAAGTGAGTGAATTGAGACACTGATGAACACCTGATAAGCAGAATCACTGAAGGACAGAGAAACAAGAACTGAAAAAGAGAAACACAAGATCTACAACTGACTTCCAGCAACACTGAGTGTGAAAACAGTTTACAAACCAGTTTAACATTATTTATTTCATACATGTACAAAAGTTCTTGTTGAGAATTTAATTAATAATAAAGTTTGTTGTCACCATAATGGAGATCAGTATTTGCTTAGTAGGTCTCTTGTCCCTGGACTTGTTTCATTCATCTCTTTCTGACTGCTGTAACAGTGAGGGTATAGGGTGTGATTATGAACACAGTCTCTGAGTGTTGACTTTGAGAGCTGTTAATTCACAGTATATTCCTGTAGGCTAGTTTTGTTTTCTACGGTATATTACTGTTTTAATGGAAAATGGTATGATAGTGTCAGAATTTGGCCTGTTGCCAGTATTTTACTGTAAAAAACCTGGTAAGGTCTAACCAGAGAGTTGAAGCTCAACATGGGCACTCACTTCATGATAGCCAAGCGTTCTGCACAGGCTCAAACTAAGCTTGACGACGTAGATGTCGCGTGAGCAAACTGACTGACAGTTGTAAATCTTTTAGTAGCTGTTCCAAGACAAATTTTAATCGTGCACAGAGACAGCGAAGCGCGACCTGGTGCAACTTCTGGTAAGTATTCTGATGAATTATTTTGTCATTTTGCTTCTATTTATGCCATGGGCTGACTTTAGACAGTAAAAGCTTCTGTAAGAGTAAGAGCTTCTCCTCCTGTCTATACGGTAATTCTCTACTGTGCGACGGACAGTCGAGTGGTTATGACACAATTTTTAGCCTATTTTTACAAGAATGGCTTCTACGGGCCCATAACGTAACATACAAAGTAATGAAGCCTTTCATACATTGTCGTGTTTCTTTAGAAATAAATAATGGACAAATGAAGTCTTTGGACGCCTCAGATGTAAAGTTATTCACTGTCAAAGTGAAGGCCAAAATGAATGGGAGTCAATGGGATGCTAACAGCAGGTGATAGCCCGCTACAATGGCGGCTCCCGGAGGCAGCTTCAGCTTCCGGCAGATGGATTACCCCCTTGGGTCTAACAGTGTACAGCCATTTCATGCAGAACTCCGGAGATCGGTGGAGGAACCGTGAGAAACCATTTTGCCGATCCCGCTTCTATTTTTCAAATAAATATCTACGCAACTGTTGGTCCACATCAAGACCTTCACGCGCGGCACGTGCACACGTTTTTTTTTATGCGCGTGAGTGATCAAGTCTACAGTGATCAAGTCTACAGCATTGGTTCGGTGACTGTGCGAGTATGTTTATCCTTTTCAAACACAAAATTTTCAGGCCAGTAAGTGTTTATTTTGTTTTGTGTACTTATTTTTTTATTGAAAAATATAATTTTGTTAGAAAACGTCAAGTTTTCTGAGAAGTGTTTTCGATAACGGATGACAGAAATTGGCACCGGTGCCAATTTCTGCCATCCGTTATCGAAAACACTTCTCAGAAAACTTGACGTTTTCTAACGTAAAAAGTAAGATCGGCCCAGATAGCAACTGGCTCCGGAACGGATCTGCCGCGGAGGTAAGAACAAGGTCCGGAACGGAGTCCACTTGCACAGCGCAACGGATCCGGAACAGATAAGGATTGCGGATCCAGACTAGATCCGCAGCAGACCCTATCCGGATCCGATCTGGACCCGTTCATTTCGGTCTGAAAACCTTTCAGATCACTCATTCAAAACTAGTAATCTGGCCAAAACTACAAAAATATTTCAAATCTATTGGTGGACCAACATTAGATAGACTGCCCACTAAACAACATGATGTCCAAAAGATGTCTTTTCAACATCTTTGTCACAAAAGTTGGATGTTGAAAAGACGTCCACTGAGGAGCCAGAATTAAAGTTTTTATGACGTCTTTTTTTGTCGTGTTCTGCACGTCTGATATAGACTTTCATCGAACATTTGTACAAGGTTAAAAACTAGTTCAAATGTATCAGCATTCAATTAAAACTCATGTTTATATCGATGTAATTTCCTTACATTGTTTAGATGAGGTTTAGATGTTGATATGTTTCATTTTAAGTCACCATTGTGGTGATCAGTGTTTGCTTTAGTTGGGCTCTTGGTCCCAATTCTTCTTACTTTAACTTTTCTTTGGCTGTTGTGACTGTGTGTTTGTATAACACTATTATTGTTGCAGAGAAAGCCAAGAAAA